CGGTCTGTCTGTCATCCATCCATCCATCTATCATCTGTCTGTCTGTCATCCATCACCTGTCTGTCTGTCATCCATCCATCCATCCATCCATCATCTGTCTGTCATCCATCCATCCATCCATCCATCCATCCATCCATCCATCCATCCATCGTCTGTCTGTCTGTCATCCATCCATCCATCATCTATCATCTGTCTGTCTGTCATCCATCCATCCATCATCTGTCTGTCTGTCATCCATCCATCCATCCATCCATCCATCATCTGTCTGTCATCCATCCATCATCTGTCTGTCTGTCAACCATCCATCCATCCATCCATCATCTGTCTGTCTGTCAACCATCCATCATCTGTCTGTCTGTCAACCATCCATCCATCATCTGTCTGTCTGTTAACCATCCATCCATCCATCCATCCATCATCTGTCTGTCTGTCATCCATCCATTCATTCATCCATCATCTGTCTGTCTGTCAACCATCCATCCATCATCTGTCTGTCTGTCAACCATCCATCCATTCATCCATCCATCCATCCATCCATCCATCCATCATCTGTCTGTCTGTCAACCATCCATCCATCATCTGTCTGTCTGTCAACCATCCATCCATCCATCCATCATCTGTCTGTCTGTCAACCATCCATCCATCCATCATCTGTCTGTCTGTCAACCATCCATCCATCATCTGTCTGTCATCCATCCATCCATCCATCCATCCATCCATCATCTGTCTGCCTGTCATCCATTCATCCATCATCTGTCTGTTTGTCTGTCATCAATCCATCGTCTGTCTGTCTGTCATCCATCCATCCATCCATCCATCATCTATCATCTGTCTGTCTGTCATCCATCATCTGTCTGTCTGTCATCCATCCATCCATCCATCATCTGTCTGTCATCCATCCATCATATGTCGTCTGTCATCCATCCATCATCTATCTGTCTGCCATCCATCCATCCATCATCTGTCTGTCTGTCAACCATCCATCCATCCATCCATCCATCATCTGTCTGTCTGTCAACCATCCATCCATTCATCCATCATCTGTCTGTCTGTCTGTCATCCATCCATCCATCATCTGTCTGTCTGTCAACCATCCATCCATCATCTGTCTGTCTGTCAACCATCCATCCATTCATCCATCCATCCATCCATCCATCATCTGTCTGTCTGTCAACCATCCATCCATCATCTGTCTGTCTGTCAACCATCCATCCATCCATCCATCCATCCATCATCTGTCTGTCTGTCAACCATCCATCCATCCATCATCTGTCTGTCTGTCAACCATCCATCCATCATCTGTCTGTCTGTCAACCATCCATCCATCATCTGTCTGTCTGTCAACCATCCATCCATCATCTGTCTGTCTGTCAACCATCCATCCATCCATCATCTGTCTGTCAACCATCCATCCATCCATCCATCATCTGTCTGTCTGTCAACCATCCATCCATCATCTGTCTGTCTGTCAACCATCCATCCATCCATCATCTGTCTGTCAACCATCCATCCATCCATCCATCATCTGTCTGTCTGTCAACCATCCATCCATCCATCCATCATCTGTCTGTCTGTCTGTCTGTCTGTCATCCATCCATCCATCCATCATTTGTCTGTCTGTCATCCATCCATCCATCCATCCATCCATCATCTGTCTGTCTGTCTGTCATCCATCCATCCATCCATCCATCCATCCATCATCTCTCTGTCTGTCATCCATCCATCCATCCATCATCTGTCTGCCTGTCAACCATCCATCCATCCATCATCTGTCTGTCTTTCTGTCATCCATCCATCCATCCATCCATCCATCATCTCTCTGCCTGTCAACCATCCATCCATCCATCCATCATCTGTCTGCCTGTCAACCATCCATCCATCCATCCATCCATCCATTATCTCTCTGCCTGTCAACCATCCATCCATCCATCCATCATCTGTCTGTCTGTCTGTCATCCATCCATCCATCCATCATCTCTCTGTCTGTCATCCATCCATCCATCATCTGTTTATCTGTCTGTCCTTTATTATGTAGGTCAGTATTGCTTGTATAAAAACAATTAGTTAAAAGCATTAACATGATTGTGAATGTTTTTTATCTTCATCTTTTTTACTTTCCCAGTGTTATCAGTCGATGGCATTCCTAATAAGGCGGTGGAACCAGTGAGAGGGGCAGTTACATCATATTCCTGTTGTGAAAAATAACCTGTTTTCCCTCTTCACACGATTTGATTTGTTATTCTAACAATGAGCTGTAAACAATCTAATCTGTGTGCTCTCATATTTGCCACTATATGTTTCCCTGGATTAAACCGGATTAGGGGATTACACAATTAATACGACCCGAGACAGCAAAGGCATTCTGACGTAAGCCATTTTTTACAAATAATATCACAGAATAATTTCAGTCCAAACATTACCGTTGAAATGTTTGCTTTATATTTTTAAAAGTGTAATTCTCTTCTGCTCACCAAGACTCACAATATCATTACAATTTAAAATAACCGGTTTCTACGTGAATATATTGTAAAATGTAATTTATTCCTGTGATCGAAGCTGAATTTTCAGCATCATTACTCCATTCTTCAGTGTCACATGATCATTCAGAAATCATTCTAATATGCTGGTTTGAGACTCAAGAAACATTTATTGTCAATGTTGAGATCAGTTAAGGCTCGAAAATATAGTAACCCTGAAACGATCAAAACTGACATCCAGAGCAACTATTTACTCTGTCAATATCCTAATTGCTGAAAGGACCAATCAATTGTTGGAGCTGCCATCCGTCAGCCTCACGTTTGCTCAGATTACTCAACTAACGCCAAACTTTGGCCCAAACAATGGTGATTAAGCAACAGATTAAACCTCCTCATAAATAATGAAGAGCTGCGTTTTCAACACGCTTCCTGTTCACTTCCTCTAATAGCCACATTAAAAGCTCTTTACAAGTCAGTGATGAGAGGAAGAGAAAAACGAGCACTTAACGAGTTGGAGAGAGAGAGAGTGATGCAAGTTGATCAATGAGTCAACGAGGTCCTTAAAGGAAGCCTGTCCTGCACTGATGTAAAGCGCTAATGATGAAGGCAATAAAAGCCCTGGCTCTCGACCGACATCCTAATTAAGGAAGTGGAGGTTAGAGGGTTTTGCTTAACTGATTCACCCATGCCATCTTTATGACCTTTGTCACTCGCTGCCCGGATGATGACATGATTATAATGACCATAGTTGACATTCTTTACTTAGTTGCTCTAAGTTAAAAGATATCATGCCAGTGTTGGAATTCCATAACGTAAGTATATGGGAAACAACATAAAGACAGAGGGCTGTTGTACCACTGCCAGTTTAACCAATTAGAAATTACAATTGAAGTTGTAGAAGGATTTACAGAGGGGAGAGGTGTGTAGGTGTGTGTGTGTGTGTGTGTGTGTGTGTGGGGGGGTTCTTTTTTAATATAAATGCAAAGTAAGGGAATGGTAATTATCTCTACCTTAAACCGACTTTCATTGGCATATATATATATATATATATACACAATTTTTTTTTTACTTCAATAAAAATCTGTTAATTCTGTGTTGCCTCATTAAGAATATTTTTATGTTTAGTGACTTTTTGTTCAGAAAGCTCAGAAAGCTCAGAAATGGTGAAAATATGTCACATTTAAAAGAGTACAGCTTTAAATATAATGCTATAGATTAAAGTTATAGAGTCATTACCTGATTATTTCAGGCATACACTACATAAATGTGTTACACTTTATTGTCAGTATTACTGTGTAATTATACATTTAAGTACTGAGTAATAATAATGAACTACATGCCACTGTAAAAAAAAATACTTTCATGATTTGTTATCACAATTGTTTTGTCAAATCAACTTAGATAATTTATGTGGTTCAGTTAACATAATATTTTGAGTTTCTGATGATTAAACCAATCTCCTCATTTCAATGAACTTAAAATTTAAAGGCAACCAGGTTACTTTTTTAAATTTAAGTTAAACCAACAATGATTCCTTTATAGGGTTAGGATGAGGGTTTGGTTTAGGGTTAATTGCATGTAATTGTGCATAATTTATAGTTTTTACTAGCTAAGTTTTTACTACAGTATCTACATGTTTGCCATATGTAACAATGAAAGTGTACCAATCAATGTTTTGTCTTTTAAAACACATTTGACACGTGATAGTAGCATCTAAATGAACAGATTTGATTCCAGTCAAAAATATTACAATAAAAATTATACAATGAAAATAAAAATATACAATAAAAATATAACATGAATATTTAACTGATTCTGACTGCACCAACAAAAGTCCATTTTAACGGTCACATTAGGAAGAAATATATGAACGTATACAGTAACAACTACACAGTCTAACTTTTACAGTGTGAATACTTGTTAAAATAAGGTATAAGTTATACAGACACTCAAGAGTTTCACTGTGGGTGTCTGAAGAATTGTGGGAGACAGGAGATCAGATTCACCAGACAGTGTAAATTACAGTCATTGGATTATTTTACTTTAATCTGACACTAATTAATAACCCAGTAAAGGAAGTTGACTGGGAGCTGACCTGTTTATACTTTCAACAACTTTCATTTTCATCAATATCTGTTATGGCAGTATTTTTGTCTTTGATTTGTCATATACTGTAGAGAAGTTGTCTCAGAAATATATCATATAGCCTATATACGGTATGATACTAAACACACTTTCAAATTCCATAATTCCCGAGAGTGTGCAAAAATTATTAACGTCTTTTTTTTCTATTTTGTATCAAATATTCTTCATGGTTAAAACAGATGTTTTTTTTTTTTTGTTTTTTTTTTAAGAAAAGCTTTCTCAAAGATCCCATTGTCAATGTGGAATGGCATACATATCAAAAAGATTCAGTCGACACGTTTTCCTCGCAAAACTTTCCGACATGATATGCCATTATCCACGTCCTGGTCCCGGGAAGAGCCCCACCTCTTCGAGAATCTTTGGGATGTGAAGTTCAATGAGCGCATTTCTCGCGCTCGTCTCCAGAGCCGCACGAGCGCAGTGCACTACAGCACATACCTGTATATTTGACTCAGAGTGACTCAATAGACCACATGAGCACAACAGCATCAGTCCACTGTCAGCCATAGACCTGCATTTACACAGGTTTTACTTGGAATATCTTACAAAAACGCAGGAAGCGCGCGTCGCATCCCCTCGATGAGCAGCCGCGCGCGCTGTCAGCAACACGAGCGCGAGACACGTCGCTATATCGAGGTAAGCGTCAGCTGTTGGAAGTTTGCAAAATGTTAAATAATGTCGCGTTTGCCTTTAATTTCTTATTCCTTTGTTATATAAAACGTACATCGTGGATTTCAGTTCTGGATACGGCCTATGATAAGCTGATAGTATTTTATGTGTAGGCTATTATTATCCCGTCTGGGCATTTATCATGCTTTGGAAGCATTTGTAAATATCTGTCAATTATGATAAATTAATCTCTATAATAATTAAAATGCATTAAAAACAAAGGCAGGTTTGTCGAACTTTTTGTCCAACCAACATGTTTGCCTGAAAGTTCAAAGATGTGTAGCCTATTGTTTTGTAATTACACTGTACAATGTTTTCATTGATATATTTCGACATTGTTATTTTCGTCCTAATTGTTGCCATTTCTGCTCGTAGTCAGTGTTTTAGATAAATATCCGTCATAGTAATTCAATATAAAGTGGCAGAAAAAAAAGTAACCAAACTGTGCAACGATCACCGCAACTTTTGAATCACTTTGATTTTACTCAAACATTTAAGCCGGCAATTGATTTTATATTTTAATTTTACTAGTAGGCTAGTAGACAACAACTATTACAATAATTATCTATACTAGTATGCTAATCATATCCTGCGTATATTTGTCGGATTGTTTTTTTAAACGAAAAATGTATTTTTAAAACACAACTGTTTCTTCTCGAAAAGACTGTGATGGCAGAATTTAATCGTTATTATCTGAATTAGGCCCATTTATTTTTACCTACCCTCTCGTATTCAGTGAATGGGAGGAGCTTAAGACAGAAAAAAACTTTTATAACGTGGTTTCATTTTTACTTCACGTGTCGCTGATTTCAAACAGAAATATTTCGTAATATTTTTTTTTCTCTTCCTAAAGAAGGTCAGAAGTGTTACAAATGATTATTATAATTTCACGAGCAGGAATGAAACTATCAATCAAGCTCTCGCGAGGCATGAAGGACACTAAAAACGCTGCAATTTATGACTGTTCAACGCTCAAATATGTTTCTGACCGTTTCAGGGATTGACTGATGCTGAAGAGGCTGAAAGCTAGAAAACACATTCCCTCGAGCGTTGCATACGGTAAATGTGCACCAACACACACTGCACAAAATCTCTCACAAAAATATTCATTTCATTTTAAAGTTAACATTTTTGAGCAATGCTTAAATGAATCAAAACACACACATGCACATCTCACACAACTCCATCAATTGGCTGCATATAGGAATGCATCTGGCTGACATCCAGCAAAAAAAAAGATGCTTATAACATTAAAATGTATATTTGATAAGCAATTCATTATTTCATAACTTACATAAAGATTTTTGTGTGGCTCCACACTGTATCGACCCTATTTACCTGCATGGAGTCTGATTACCGTACAGTAATGATATATATGCAGTCCATTATAGGCTACTGGAAGTCATATATTGAACTATATCCAAGTAACAATTTCATGCATTTCCTTGTCTGCAATCAAGATAATCAACATTATATGAATGCTTTCAATGATGAGATTGTATTTAAATGCATTGCTTGATAAGTCTCCACTGATGAAGGAGCATAGACCCCTTAAATAAGGATTATAATGTAGGACGGTGTACGCAGGCCATATGTTTACAGTGGGGTTTTCTGTTCATGACAAGGTCAGCGAGTTGCATTACAGCCATTAAAAGAGAAAGTAAAGTCAAGACATTTCATTTGTTTAAAAAATACAACAGTTTGCCTGAGGTATATTTGGATTGGATGATGGATTTGGTGTGTAATGTCCTGTTCATGTAGCTATTAGGTTCCCTCTTTTTTTTCTCTCTTCTGTATTGACCCCCACAGGTCACATAAGTAATTTTTTAAACGCATGATTAATTTCACAGTAGGGTTAACATACATATAGATGAAGTTCAATGCATCAAGCAGACATGATGTACTAAGGCCTGCATGTTTAACTGTTCAGCATGAATAGCTAACCTTGTTGTGGTGATTATCATCAGCGGCGGTCTATATAAACCATTTCAACTGGTCTGTGCTTTAATTATAGAGCCGCCTTTTTTCACCTATGGACATATACAAATGCAACACACTGATCAATAGCTGATATAAATTCAGATGTACATGAATTTGTTGGTTTAACAGCTAAAAAAGTAATTTAGCTGGTTGCCTTAAAAATTTTAAGTTCATTGAATTAAAAAATTTGAGTTTATACAATGAGGGAGATTGGTTTAATCACAGAAACTCAAAATATGATGTTATCTGAACCACAAACATTATCTAAGGTGATTTGACAAAATAACCATGAAAATATTTTTTACAGTGCAAAATACCAACCACGTTTTCACATGTATAACTTGAAACATTATTTGAGTTAATGTTTAGTGAAAATAAAAAGCTTAATGAGAGTTACACTTATTCTACCATTTTTTTTTTTAAGTATATCTATATATTTTTTTCATATTCCTGTAATGGGATGAGAGGTCGTATGAGGTGCTCTTTGGCTATTGGGAGACAAAAGCCAGCGGGATGGGCTCTAAATGAGGTTTAGGAGGCTACAGATGGGACCCTCTCTTTCCTGTCAATTTGACTGGGGTTTTCAGAACACTTGACCTTTTGTACTAATTCTATTATCGTGGCAAAATGAAAACGTCACAATTAAGGCAACTATTCTTATCAAAATTGCCGCAATGTTATCAGCATCCTGAAATTATATTTGTAATGCCGACATTTAAAATAAAAACCCTGCAGATCTGAGTCTTTGAAGCGAAGAATTTTGAGCGAACAGGACATTTTTCATAGGCTATATTAAAAAAATTTACGGCATTTTTTTCTTTAACATAACAGTAGCCTAATTTTTCATATTTGGATCAATAGCGCACCTGGCTATTATAGAAATGTTATTGATGAGACAGTTTGTCGGTCAACATGTCATCGGCATCAAGCGATTAGTTTGATTCTCAGTTGTGGTCGATTCAGTGCGTACAGCCCATGTATTACCCTCATAATGATGAAAAAATGACATGCCGACATTTGTCGCCTTTCGCTTGATTTATGAATGCGCGGAAATTGCCTCAATATAGCATGACAGTTTGAACGGTTTAAGTGTGTGACAATGCAGATGTTGATAGCGAAATAATAAAACATTAACAAAAGCTACTGACTGCTCTTAAACATGAATGATCACAAGACTGGGCTACTTTTACGGCTTTTATGCAGCTTATACAAAAGCAATGTGGATGCAGAAAGCGCGGAAATCATATCTAATCATCATATTCGAAAAACCGACCGTCATATTAATTAAAGTCGACAATCAAAGTTTTTGTTTGGCATCATCCTATCAGGATATTAACTTAGACCTACAATTTTTCGTTAGATTTAAAAGCTATGGAAAAATGCATGCGATTAATTTACAATTGGCCTATTTAAATGTTGCACTAAACATATTTTGGTTAGGCTAATTTTAGGCGTGTTTACAAGTAACACCCAATATTTATGAAACATTTCTGGTGTTGTCCATGCGATTATACCGATTAGCCTACACATGGGTGGTTCACGGGTGTTTTTTCCCCCCACTAATTCCGATTTGATGTACACGCGCGCGCGCATCACCCGGGGCCCCTGCGGCTCCTGTCTGAGCTTCTCTTTAGTGTGTTTGAGTGGCAGTTAGTGAAACGTCATTGGCTCTTCAGAGGGGCAGAGCCACGCCAATCACTCACATGCAGCTCCGGCAATAAGAGCCGGTGTGTGAGGCGCGCGCTTATTCGCTCTTGACTTGCATTACGGTTACTGGACACGATCAAGGAGCCTGTTGTGATATTGCGCATTTATCGTGCTTGTATTTATAAAGTTCGCGGTCTCGTTGACCGTTTGCATTTCCGAAAACGAATTTCTAAATTCGTATGTGGAATAGGCTTCGAGATGATTTGTATTCTGTAGCGTTTGGACATCTCCGACAGCGCGCGGAGGTAAGAAAAATACAAACTTTTCATCGTCTCCGAGTCCGTCTAAAAAGTATGTGTTTTTGTTTAGTTTTAGGCATTTCTGACCATGTTCTCGGCTTGAAAAGAGGCACACAAACGTGTAGAGACATTTTGTAGCCTACATGCGTTTAAATGTTTTTATTTTGTTATGATTATGATTATAATGATTATTATTATTATTATTATAAGGGATATATACTGGGCCATTATGTGATACATTACCAAAACCTAAAATAGCGACGTTCTATATTCTGTATGAAAAAGTCGGAATAGAACGTTGAGGCCGTCAGAACATTCTACGGGGAAATCTGCCTAAACTCTCTGTAAATTCCGCTGTGTTGTTTTATTTTCGCATATTATTTCAGTAATATAATATATTACAAAATATTAAATAAAACATATGAATATATATTAAATAATATGTAAAGTCCTACACAGTATTAAAAGCATTTCACGCTTTTTTTTTTTTTTACCACAGAAACAGCTCAAAAAGTGTTCATGGTTCAAGGAATAAAATTAATAATTGCACTGATTTAGCTAGCGCACTGATTTAGTTTATATATAGGCCTATTTGTTGTAAATATCTTTTTGCTTTTATTTACTTTGCGATTGATCAGCATCTTCGTCATTTTCTCTCGTTCTTTAAACGAGTTTTTATTTCAAGCGCATCATATTCTGATCTACAGAAATTGTCTGACATGTGTGTGAAAAAAGCTTTAGCCTATGATTAATTCTTCACGTTGTTTAATTCGTTATTTTTTGTCTAGTGAAATAAAATTCTGGTTTCTCTTTAATAACTATGCCACATTTGGTTTTATAATCAAAGTAAAATTCTTTATCGATATACTTTGTATAGGTTTGAAATTCATCTGAATCTTTTTTTTTTACTTTAATTCTTTTCATTGCTAAATTAACCTTAAACAATATGTTTACAGACGAACATCTCCAGTCAGTGGTCTCCAAAGATTGCAAAAGAGTCTTCTGCCTGGACCGAACACCATTGTGATGGCCACCCCACCGAGTTCATTTCAGCAGGAGCCCCTCACGCCTCCAAGATCCTCCCTCAAGCCCAACCAAGTGGGGTCGGTCATCCTCTACGGGGTGCCTATTGTCTCGCTGGTCATTGACCATCAAGAGCGGTTATGCCTGGCTCAGATATCCAACACCCTGCTAAAGAACTACAGCTACAATGAGATCCACAACCGTCGAGTGGCTCTGGGCATCACCTGCGTGCAGTGCACCCCGGTCCAGCTCGAGATCCTCCGGCGGGCCGGTGCCATGCCCATTTCCTCGCGCCGCTGTGGCATGATCACCAAACGCGAGGCAGAGCGACTTTGCAAGTCTTTCCTGGGAGAGAATTCTCCACCCAAGCTGCCAGACAACTTTGCGTTCGACGTGATGCATGAATGTGCTTGGGGCTGCCGGGGAAGTTTCATCCCAGCGCGCTACAACAGCTCCCGGGCCAAATGCATCAAGTGCTCCTACTGTAATATGTACTTCTCCCCGAACAAATTCATCTTCCACTCACACCGCACGCCCGAGGCCAAGTACACGCAGCCGGACGCCGCCAACTTCAACTCCTGGCGTCGGCACCTCAAACTGACAGACAAAACGCCACAGGACGACCTGATGTTCGCCTGGGAGGATGTAAAAGCCATGTTCAACGGAGGGAGTCGCAAGAGGGCTCTTCCCTCCTCTCACTGCTCGTCCATGGGTTCGGTCAAGGCCGTGAACTCGGTCCTGCCCCACATGATCTCTCCGGAGTTATCCCAGAAGAGAGGCCGGTATGAGGACGATGATGATTTAGACAGCAACAGCCTCTCGCCTCGAAAAGCCCCTCGCAGTTACCCGGTCATTCCAGTCCCGAGCAAAGGTTTCGGGATGTTGCAGAAGTTCCCAACTACGTCGCTATTCCCAAGTCCATACACCTTTCCTGCATTCGGTCTGTGCCCGCAGAAGAAGGACGACAGCGAGGCGACCAACGGGCAGAAGAACAGCGGCCTCTCAGGGCTTCTCTGGCCCGGACGCAAGGACACTTTCTACCCGCCCTTCTGCATGTTCTGGCCCCCGAGGGCAACCGGGGGCATCCCGGTACCCACTTACCTGCAACCCCAACCCAACGCCCTTTCCTCCCTCACAGAAAGCCCGTCTCTCAGACAAGCCTTTTTGGATCTGTCTGAACAGGCCGATGCCAGTTCGGGATTGGACGCGAACCCCCGGTCCGGGCTGTTCGAGAGCGACTCCCTGCCCGTGACCTCGGACCTGCGACCGGCCCCGGAGGGCTGGCTAAAGCTGCTGGACGCGCCCTCGCTTCAAGCGCGAAAGGCCAGCTACCACTCCGCCTTCCGCCCCGTGGTCAAAGACGCCGAAAGCATCGCCAAACTCCACGGCAGCCTGGAGGACTTCGGGACGGATCGGCACCTTTCCCCCGGGACCAGCTGCAGCTACCAAAGCGACAGCGGGGAAAGCGACGAGGAGCAAGAAGTGGATGTGGAGACCAAACAGGACGAGGAACAGGAGGATTTCGGCAGCCGGTCAGCGCAGACGCCCCCCCTGCACATGCGAGGACTTCCCGACAACAACTCTGGGGATCCGGCCAAAGAGCAAGCCTCCTTCCTGAGCGTTCCCGCCGAGACCTCAGAGGACAAACCCGACCTCCCCGTCAGTCCGCCCACCGTCCTCAAAGTCCCCAGCCCCGTTCACGGCCCGCTGGAGGAGAGCGCCGCGTACAGAAATGTAAATATTCCCTCCAGGCACTTTGACTAATTATTTAAATGCGGGCCATTGGCTGGCAGGGTCCGTATGCATAACAAGATTGATAGCCTGTGTTCCCTGCAGAAATGAAATATTCAGAGCTCTTTGATCCCTTCTAATAAGCCCAGTCGTGTTTTGTTTAATGGCGACATTATGTTTGCTCGCCTTTGTCACTTCTGCCTATTAGCCCTTTTAATCTTTAACCCTTTGACGCTACATTAACAGACAGAACGGGACGAGCGACGGAAACTGAAACGGGAATTCTTTAGCAATTAGCCTCAGCGCACACACAGACACACACACACACACACACACACACGCACACACACCACACGCGTGTTGATTTATCTGAAGAAACTCAGTAGCACCACACAGCCAAACAAACATCAGAATCATATATAAAACATAACAGCGTTGTCATTCTCAAGGCTAATCAATTGTGTGCTTTTGGCTGACTGATATATTTGGTTGCTCTATGTTTCAACCTTTGGCCTGGTGTTATGAATCAGTTCTAATCAGACACCGGTGGTGTTTTATGGTTACAGGCGCACAAGAGCAGAGACGATGGGCTGCCGGCCTATGCAACCAAAAACAAAACAACCATCTCAGGTGAGAAATTAATGGAAAGTGAATGGAAGTGTAATTTGATTTTCCATTGCATTATTTAATTTAATTTTATTATTAGTATCATTTTTAAAGTTTACACTGTTTACAACCATGGCAATACACACACACACACATACACACACACACAGTTGCGTTTTCATGTTTTAGGGGGACCTCTATAAACATAATACTTTTTTATATTGTACAAACTGTATATTCTAGTTGCTGCCTTAACATTTTTAAGTACAATCAACTTATATGTTTTAAGTCATTTTAAGTCAACTTAAATTACATTAAACTGACTTAAAAAAATGAGTTGAATCGCGTTGAACTTGAAAAAGTAGAAAATTGCTTAATTTATTTTGATGAATTAAAGCAATGTAAAAACATGTTGTCATAACTTATTGATCATATATTTTTTTTACAGTCAGAAAACGTTCTACTTTTTAACATATTCAGGAAACATCACCCAGTATGATTTATAAGCTGTTTTTTCTTATAAATTGTTGGGACCACAGGGACAAGGAATTCAGATATTGCCATCTTTGTCCCCATAATGTAGGGTTTACCAGGACCACACACACACACACACACACACACACACACACACACATTATAAATGATAGTCTTAGACATCATTTCTCTTGTGAAATTAAATGCACATAAAAACATAATTTGACAAATATAATTAAATAAAAATAATCAGTACAAAATAATTATAATGAACAAAAAATAATTGCATTTTCCACCTTTATGCCGTAAACTTTGATTCATGTGTGTCCATGCATTCACCTCATAATATCTCATTTTTTAATTTTCCTTCAGACGACAACAAAGAGCAAAGCAGTTTTTTCGTCCCCGAGACAGAAACCTCGTCCGCACCCGAATTCTGGCGAGAGACTCCAAGTAAGAACAACACTTTATCTCAGCGCTTTATCTCCGCTTTACATCCGCCACTTACAGCAAGAGGGTTGGAGAAATAACACGCGCACCACGGCTGGCCCATCCCTGCGAGGATATTAGGATTAATCTAAATATAAAAACGATACGGGACGGAATATACTCTTAAAATGGAGCAGCTCTCTCCACAATGTCATGGGGAAAATGTGTTCTGTAGGGAGCCATAACAGTTCAGGAAGACAATCAGCTCAGCGGCAGGAAGGTGACAATCACCATTTCAACAATATCAAACGGAAATAATTGCCTTTTGCTTGGCAAAATCTTCCATTAGAAAGATCATAGCTTATTGCCTTTTATCTGTCAGAAAGACATTAAAAGTGTTTTATGACATCTGCCAACATTTATATTATCTAGCCGATAATGATCTCCTCATATACCGTATAATATATTTGAAAAAAATTACATGAAACAAATTAAATGAAACCACCTTTGCCTGATTGCTAAACGTCTCCGAGGGGCTGCTGGGAAACGTGATTAGAACTTCTGATTTTGCAGAGAGTCTAAACGGCAGTGTCTTAAAGATAGTTCTGTTTCTTGGGAGGGAAGGGGGGGAAAAAAATAATCTAATTTTCCATTTATATAATGCAAACTGCCTTGGCTTTGACTATTCACGGTTAATTGACTGTCAAACGAGGTTGTTATCCTCAGGCACTGTCTGCAAATTTGCTTGTCAAATGAGACAGAGAGAGGAGGAGAGCGAGAACAAGACCGCTTTCCAAATGAGGAACGCCTTGTTCGGCTTAAGGAGGCAAGACGGGAAATGAGAAGAGAGAGAGAGAGTGGAATGAGGGGAAGATTATACCGATGTGTTGGATCACTTCATTCGAGCCATTTGCGATATAGACACAAAAACACAGTCGGCGGACATGCCTTGCGAACGCACCGACTCCTAAGGTTTCCAATCAAAACTGTTTCGAATAATTTCCTGATTCAATAGCGCAGTAACATTAATGAAATCAGCTCTTTTCACCTATTTCAGGATATTGGCACATTGCAAGGACGTTTCTAATGATTTAATTTAGCTGTACTAATCAGATACTTTCTTGAATGGCCTATATTTTATCCAGTGGAGTCAGAAATGTATTATTTTCGTAGTATATTATTATGTCTTTACAGTAAATATGCTGTCACAGATGTTTCATACCATATTCATGACATACGAATACCATTTCCGCACCCCAGGAAAACAGCATTTTATGAAGTCAAATATGATTGTTTGAAATATCCTGTTATGAGACTGACATCTACTGGCTGCTGGTGGAACTGCATGACGTGTGTCAGTCCTTTATAACAACTGACATGAATGAATGCTTGCGATATAGGTCATAAATCTGCACAGATTTGTTAAATTCCTCTTTTTTTTCTGCTCAGCAGACCAAAGTCAAGACACAAACTCTCCCGTATCGCTCAAGAAGGACGTCGAGAACATGGAAAAAGGTGAGATCGCAATAAGACTTTAGAATTGATACGATTTTTTTTTTAAAGAAGCATTTAACGATGCATTAAATTGATAAAACGTGAGAATTTTTTATTTTTTATTTTTATAAATGCTGTCATTTTGAACTTTTTATTCATGAAAAAAAATCCTGGAAAAAAATATATGTTTCACGGTTTCCACAAAAACATGAAGCAGCACAACTGTTTTCAACATTGATAATAAAAATAAATGTTTCTTGAGCATCAAATCATCATATCAGAATGATTTCTGAAGGATCATGTGACACTGAACACTGGAGTTATGATGCTGAATTTAGCTTTGATCACAGGAATAAATTACACTTTATGACATATATTCACATAGAAAACAGTATTTTAAACTGAAACAGAAAACTGTTTTACTGTATTTCTGAGCAAATAAATACAGCCTTCGTGAGACTTCTGTCAAAAATGGAGTGCAATAAAAAGTTGAAATACATATATTAGTCTCTAACCGTGTGTGATCTGTCCTTCAGAGGAGCTCCAGAAAGTTCTCCTTGAACAGATAGACTTACGGAGGAGACTGGAGCAGGAGTTTCACGCTCTGAAAGGCAGCTCTCCGTTCCCGGTTTTCCGTAAGTGCCATCACTTCATCATCATCACGATTTAGCTTGTGAAAATCAGAAAACCTGCTTTCTCTGATCGTTTGATCTGAAAATAAGCCCAAACCTGATCCTATTCTTTTTTTTAATCCAATCTTTTAAATCGGTTTAAAAGTTAAAATAGCTGACCATATTATGCCTTTGATTTGAATTGTCCATATTTGGCTATTCTACAGATAACTTTCAGGACCAAATGAAGAGAGAACTGGCTTACAGGGAAGAAATGGTGCAACAGTTACAGATGGTAAGGAGTTTTTTGTTAACATAATCCACAGCTAGGTCATAATTTCCCGTCTGATTATTTGACTTGTGAATCATAAGAATATCCCACAAGCAACCCTGCTATAAGTAAAGAAGGAATGTCAGATAACCAGCAGACAGCCGGCAGGATCTGGTGTCTCATAATCTGTGATCTGTCACTTCAACATCATGTGTCATATATATGAGAGATCACAACATGACACATTCAAAGCTGAGCTTCGGGAATGCAGAACGCTATAATGACATTTAGTAGATCTCTGCTTTCTTTTGCTGTTGTTTCACCACATACACTCTTACAAATAACGCTTCCATAGGGGGTTTTCACATTAAAGAACCATTTTGGGTTCCCTGAAGAACCTTTCAGTGACCAGTTCATAAAAGAACCATGAGTGTGAAGAACATTTTAATAATCTAAATGCTAAATGGCTAAATGCTGTTTACAGCAGGGCTTCAAGTGATTGTGTTTATGAAATATACTATTGTTCAAAAGTTTGAAGTCAAAAGTTTTTTTGTGTGTGAAGAACATCAGATCTGTGTTTGTGCTGTCGCTATGAGCTTCACAAACTCCTTCTCAACCACACTGTATTATTGTTTCTGTGTTACAATAATTCAGATTATCACAGAAGTACTGGTATAAAAGTTTATAGTTCAGATATAAACACTGATGTCTATGAAAGCGATAGAGTAAATCACCTAATGAACGTAACGACGACGCTTCAAATAACGATTGTATCAATGACATCGTTACACCAGTAGGTGGCGACAAGTGACTGTTAAAAATGTATATCATTGAATCATTCATTCAAGAGATTCCTTCAAAAACGCTGATTCGTCCAGTTATGATACAAGTGAAATATCTATGAGTGAGTCATTGAATCATTCATTCAAGACATTTTTTTAATAATTCATTCTAATTAATTAAACATTTTTAAATGGACTGCAGCTATTAACATTGGGTCAGAACCTCTAGTAAATGACATGTTATTTTGTTTAGTTGTGTCTGTTCAGAATCGGGATCTCGCTTTTAAACAACAACAAAAATCGTAATTTTCAATTTATCCAAAATCATGCAGCTCTACTTTTATTCTATGAAAACGGCTACACATGGGATATTTATCAGATATTTATTCCTGATATCTTTGATAAATTTGAAACCCTGATCTTGCAGAACCTTTGAGATTGAAATTGAATGTGTGTGTGGCCCAATCACAACATTCGTGTAGCACCCAATTTAACTCTTTAAAGTCTACGAGTGGTCTTTTTGATGTGATTCGAGTGATAACAAGTTCTCACGCACTAAATTATACTCTCAAATATGCTAAAAACTCAAAACCAAAACTAAATTTGTAATATCACAAAATATTTTTTTTAGAACTTTTCATTCATCCAAGAATCCTGAAAAAAAAAAAATCTCAGTATTATCATACAGTAGGATGTGTCACAACAATTTAAGCAGCAAAAACTGTTTTCAACATTGATAATACTGAGAACCATTATTAATAACTGAGCATATCAGAATGATTTCTGAAGGATCATGTGACACTGAAGACTGGAGTAATGATGCTGAAAATGCAGCTTTGATCACAGGAATAAATTACAGTTTAGCATATATTCACATAGAAAAGAGCTATTTTAAATTGCAGTAATATTTCACAATATTACAGTTTTTACTGTATTTTTGATCAAATAAATGCAGCCTTGATGAGCAGAAGAGACTTCCAAAAACATTAAAAAATCTTACCGACTTCAAACTACAAACATTTTCATTAAAACATTTTATGAAGCAAACTTCTTTTTCATGTGATCTACTTCTGTATGTATATATATACTGTATATATTCCCTGACCTGACAGCTGAGAGAAATGTTGTGCAAGTATTAACTGATTCCATAATGTTTATTTGTAGATTCCCTATGCAAACATCATTAGAAAAGAAAAGGTCGGGGCGCATCTTAACAAAAGCTAAATGGTAAGTATCAAAGTTATTAAATCATATAGTGATGGAATGAGTAATATAATGTGTGGCCTTTCTGTAAAATCAATTGCTGGTTTCACTGCTGAGTAAATTTACTATGACAAATAGCACTGACTTTTTGGATGCTTGTAATTTTCACATTTAAGCTTTCTTGACTATTTTGAGAAATCTTTATCATGATAACTATATCAACTGTTATTTTTTTTAGGTAAATTCATCTGAAACAAAATCAAGCTGCTCTCGACAACTTTTTACACTCTGAGGATAAATCAAATCATCCCAATCTCAAGCACAACGAAAGGAACCTCTTCACCGGATGTTGGACGTTGTCATTGATAAACCTGAGCGACGTCCATCTCTCCGACGAAACCAAACGCCATCAGCGAACGGACACACAGTCATGCATCTACCAATGATCTCGAGTTCCTTTGACATATTTCCTGTACAGTAACCCCACTTTGATTATTTATGAACTTAAGTTTATTTATTCCCCATGCGCTGTACAGTTCTCTTAGCTCTAGGCTGTAAATGTACATATGCGGAGGTCAATGTGAAGGGAACGGTTGCTCTGTACCGTGGCTGAAGTCTGAGAGCGATCGGAACGTCTGCAAACCTTTCTCGTTTTGCCTGTTTAAATACAACACTGACATAAACACCAGTTTAAAAAATGTTATTGTTAACTGTTCATGCAAATGTATTTAAATATGTTCTTGTAGTTTCTCTACTATTTATGTGGATAATTAAAGTCTATAAGATGAAAAAGACTGACCATTGTTTTTTAAATGTTTTTTTTATCAGTATAGGCACAAACACATTACAATACCATTTAATACAATTTAGAACTAAAGAAAGAATGTATATATATATATATATACCCTTTGAAGTGTACATTTTTGTATGTTTATCTGTGTTTCCTGGGAATCAAACCTACATAACTTGTTCTACCGAATACAAGATTTGTCAAATACATTATTATTTAGTTATTAAATGTATTATCAAATATTATCATATAATGCAGTTCATTTATTCGTTGTATTCTATCCTGCATATTATAATAGTGTTTTATTATTAGAAACGTATGCTATAATAATAGCCTATATAAAATAATAGGTTGCTGTCAGAAAATAAGATACAAAAAAAAATCGACAATGTATCGTTTCAGCCATGTAAATACAGTGAGCACGTGATGCAATAGCTTGGCGTACACAGTACATTTCTAAATTCAGAACACCACACTATTTACTATTTAATAGTTAAAGTAATTAGTAGCCTATAGTTAGAGCAGTGTATGTTTGTGTGTCAATCAAATCTTGTAGCGGCGCGTTTGTGACGCAATCCTGCGCGACGCAAGTCCTCTTACGTCAGCACAATAGTGCCAACATGGCGTTCACACTGTACGCGTTGATTCAAACAGCGATATTATTCACTAATGCTATCGCCGTTCTGCACGAAGAGAGGTTTCTCAGTAAAAGTAAGTTCTTATGAATGGTTTTCCTTCTGAAATGTGACAATAGGTTTGGTCTGTCATGCAAATATTTGTGTGTGTATTGCAATCTGGTTTGCTAGCCTAGAGTTTACGTCTCCTAAATGTGCAGTTGACTATAGAAATATGAAAATATTAACATGAATTACCCTGGTAACGGTAGTTTTATTTCTTCACCTGAATGACTTCGAATCTGAACAGTCAGAATTGCTGGTCGTTTTAACAAAATATTCTACGTCATATAATGTAAATGTGCCAAGAATCGCTTAATGAATATATTTGAAATAAATACGTTTTGAAATGGATCAGCCCCTCATGAAATTTGTAGAGTTTTTGTAGCGCAAAATGTGCAGAGCTGGTATTTTGACAAAACTAACGTTTTTCGAGCACTTACGTTAACGTTACATAATCCACATACTTCCATATTTGTTTTATTTCATACTTTAACATTATTCTAAAACATTTGAAATTACTAATGAATGCCAATGCCATTAAGGCTGGACATTGACACAGATTTCACGATTCTACTCAATTCCGATATTGAATCAAATAGATTCTCTTGTTTATTGCAAATTCGAGTCAGCACTGCATTTTGAATAGAAGGAAACATAAAACAGGCTATATTTGCAAATAGCAGAACAAAGAAAATCTCAGTAAGAAAGAAGGTAAAATCTTAGTTTAAGAGATTTTACAGTATGGGACATTTCCGCTGGAAAAACTTCAAATCTAGGCAAAGTGTTGAGAAATATGTTCTTGTGAATAAAGAATTTACAGTGCAAAACAAATAGGCCTAAATTATCAATCATTTCAACAGCATAGTTATCTTTCAGCAAACATTTGAAATCAGAGTTTATAAAAAGAGAGATTCTCCCAAAGGAAATGTTTCTTCCTCAATCTTACGGAAAACACATACATTGGAAATGTTACTAGCAATTTGGGAGCTAGTTGGAGAAACATTATGCTGAATATTAAATTGTCCTTGTATTTTTTTTTTTTTTTTTTGAAAACTGTAAAAAGAAAATTGTCAAATGCATATATAACATTATAGCATGCTATACATTATCACAAATAAACACATTTTTTTTTCAGTTGGTTGGGGGGCAGAGCAAAGTATTGGAGGATTTGGAGATGACCCAGGGATTAAAGCACAACTTCTGAACCTTATTCGTTCCGTCAGGACTGTCATGAGAGGTATGTTCACTTGAAGCGTCAGTATTGATTCACACAACGTTCCCATCTCCAGATCACATAGTGTCTATTACCATAAAGAATCATTAATAGAATTACTAATTTATCTGTACATGTTGTAAGCCTTGTATCTTAAAGTCGGCATGAAACGAATGTTGCAAAAGTCTTTTCTTCCCTTTTATGATCCGAGTGAAATGGCTTGTCTACAAGAAAAAAAAAGTAGGGGGTGGGACTTTGTCTATGGTGAATTGATGTATGGTTGTGGTTTGCTATTGGTGGATCTCATGTGAGTGACAGGTTATTGCCCCGCCCTCACGCCAACAGAGGTGGGGACTTGAGACTTGCTTGTCTAAATAAAGAAAATTACTTGACTTGGGATCCAAAGACTCGACACTTGAACTGTATGACTCAACAATGACTTTATAACAACTAAAGTAATGAAATTATTTTTAAAATAGATCATCTTAACATACATTTCTAAACAAAATGTAAGCTACCAGTGATCAGAGTCTGCGCAGTGAGAGCGCTAAATGCAGAGGGTAGAAGAAAATCTCCCATGATAGTTTCTTTTGGATATAAACACTTTGAAATAGGGGTGTAACGGTACACAAAAATCACGGTTCGGTACGTACCTCGGTTTTGAAATCACGGTTCGGTACGTTTTCGATACAACAAAAAGTAAGAAATGCCAGAGAAATGTCCTATTTGTTAAAAGAAAAAATATTTTTTAAATAAGTTGAGTTTTCCTACATCTTGAAACTTTCAGGTTTATAAATGGGTGTCATCTTTGAAGGATGAACAAATAATGTTTTGGTCATCACATTAAAAATAACATTTAAATATGTGAAGAGTTCAGATGCAAAAGCCATTTGAAATTTTCTTTATTTTTATCAAGCTTGTATATTTAAGTTCAGTAATTTCACTTAAATGGCAATGAAGATTACCTATTAATTGTCATTTGAGTGAAATTACTGAACTTAAATATACAAGCTTCATAAAAATGATCATTCTAGAAGAAAATTTCAAATGGCACTTAGAGGCTTTTGCATCTGAACTCTTCATATATTTATTTATATAATATTTGAGTTTTGAAGTGCTGGAAAAAGATGTGTGAAGTACTTGAAAGCATTTCACTATTCCAGCCTATTCCACTATTCCTGGTTACAGTTATGGTGAATGTTGCTGGTCTGTGTGGACGTAAAGTATTACTAACTTAGTTCATTCACGGCACAATATTTCTCCTGGTGTCCACGTCAGCGCTGTTTGATCTAGAGATCTACGGTTAATAACGGAGAAATGTGAATGCTTCTCACTAGATCTCGCAGCGATGTTATTACTTAAGTGGCGAATTCAAATGTTTTCTTTACTGGATCTTAGCGCTGTGTAGTGACAGTGTCGCTTGATCGAGATTGGCTCGCGCTGCACAGATGTTGCTGGTCCGAACTCCGAACTGATAAACGATCCGTGAAGCACATGAGTAGCGCAGTTTCGTTCCGCTTTCTTTACGCTTGCCATTTGATGTTGCGCAACGTTGTGGTGGTCGCGCCAGCGCGAATTTTGTCGGTAGGAAAAATGGTCCAATGAATCGTTCGGTTTGTATGCGTACCGAACCGGAAGCCTCGAACCGAAACGGTTCAATACGAATACATGTACCGTTACACCCCTACTTTGAAATGGGGTAAGCAATATTTCAAAAACGCTGTTGGACATGGTTGATATTAGAAATCAACCCAAACAAACACACCCCTCTCTGCATAGCTCCGCCTCAAACACACCCCTCTCTTCATAGCTCCGCCTCAAACACACCCCTCTCTTCATAGCTCCGCCTCAAACACACCCCTCTCTTCATAGATCCGCCTCAAACACACCCCTCTCTTCATAGCTCCGCCTCAAACACACCCCTTTCTCCATAGATCCGCCTCAAACACACCCCTCTCTTCATAGCTCCGCCTCAAACACACCCCTCTCTCAATAGCTCCACCTCAAACACTCCCCTCTCTCCATAGCTCCGCCTCAAACACACCCCTCTCTCCATAGCTCCGCCTCAAACACACCCCTTTCTCCATAGCTCCGCCTCAAACACACCCCTCTCTCCATAGCTCCGCCTCAAACACACCCCTCTCTCCATAGCTCCGCCTCAAACACACCCCTCTCTCCATAGCTCCGCCTCAAACACACCCCTCTCTTCATAGCTCCGCCTCAAACACACCCCTTTCTCCATAGCTCCGCCTCAAACACACCCCTCTCTCCATAGCTCCGCCTCAAACACACCCCTCTCTCCATAGCTCCGCCTCAAACACACCCCTCTCTTCATAGCTCCGCCTCAAACACACCCCTCTCTTCATAGATCCGCCTCAAACACACCCCTCTCTTCATAGCTCCGCCTCAAACACACCCTTCTCTCCATAGCTCCGCCTCAAACACACCCCTCTCTTCATAGATCCGCCTCAAACACACCCCTCTCTTCATAGATCCGCCTCAAACACACCCCTCTCTCCATAGCTCCGCCTCAAACACTCCCCTCTCTTCATAGCTCCGCCTCAAACACACCCTCCAATCCTAACCGCCCTGCTCCGAGCCGGTCTCGACCCCCGACCCCCTGCAAGCCAGTCGAGTGCACTAACATGACGCTAAACACCGCATTTACTAGCAGCCGTCAGCGCGACTCTCACTAACTGGCCTCCGTTACACACGCAATCCAACAGTGGATGTCTGTTTATCATAGCAGAAGCACTACGAAATAATGCTTCACGAAAAATAAAGTGCAGATGATGAACGAATGACAAGAAAGCACAGTACACAATTAGGGATGGCCCGATACCGATACTGGCATCGGGGATCGGGCCGATACTGTCCTAATATACTCGTACTCGTACTCATAAAAATTCGCCGATACCACGCACCGAAACCACGTACATTTTGCAAAACGAAACTGGCCGCCGCGAGTGCTTTGTCGAGGTGAACTGAGGCATAGGAAAGTATAATGTCGGCGGTTTGGGCTCATTTCAAGATAAGGGATGATGACAACAGCAAGGCAGACTGTTATGTTCAGCTAAGGTGTCGAGAGGAGGGAAAGAAAGTAGGCTACATCGTTTAAC